TTAAACATTCAAAGATCACTCAGATTAATATTTCATATTTATGTGGGATTAACCCATTTTATTGGTCATTTTAATTAAAATGTAGTCAATCATCAACACTACATAAATGGCGAGCCTATCCAGTCTTTTCAAATCATAACACCTTGTGTTTGTTCATATTTCTAAAGTAAAAACACTCCTTCTGGGTTTCTGTTCTGTGAAGCGAGATGGAGCAGCCGTCTCTTTTTCTCTCCTTATCAGACAGCGTGGTGCTGACTCCTCTCACACAACCAAGTCTGCATCAGCTCTGAGCATCTGTTCACTAAATTCTTTACCTTCACTGGGAGTGAATGTGTTTATTTGTTCATATATTTGTGCATATTGTCACATGTGTTTCTTCTTGTGTAATGGGAATAGAGAAATGTCTAAATCTGACGTTGCCAAAAGCTACAATCCTAACTGGGACTAATCACCCGTGTTTTATTCCACTGAAGCAATAATTCAAGCAAAGCAAACTCATCTCACGATTCGATTTCCTGATCCACCTGGGTCAGACATGGTTCCGATTTGAACCAAGAATGCATTCCCGCATTGATCATTCCTGTAGCAAAGCTAAGCTACCTAGCACCATAGCTTTCCATACGAACAGTGCCAAGACGTTCATTCCGTGCACAGACATTATACCGGCGATAATTATGAGAGCCTAGACTAGGTCTGCGTAGTCAATGTTTTTTTTTTTTACTTGATCATACTTTAAACTAAAATTTTGGGACCGTCCAGAAAAGCTAACGTAGCTAAGCTAAGTTGCTAAGATTATGTTAGGCACGTGTTGATAAGAGCCACTGAATCTGCTTTTGTGCTTTTCTATCCATCAGCTGACGTGGCGATGGATAGAAACTCAACAGTCCCTTCGGGGTTAAGCTTTGGCTAATCAAACTGCTGCGTTTGTGCCACTAACATTAAAATAGCCCTCATCATTTTGGTTACTTGCCATATTGACAAACTTGTGTAGAAGAATCGTCTCTTCTTCTCTTACCAAATAACTACCACCAGCCCAATACAGCCACCATCTGGCGTGTTTTAATCCGGCTGCTTCATTTGTTTTCTTTTCAGTCTCTGATGCCTGAGATGGCTGAGTTTATTTCACACTTTGAGCTCACACTGGGGAAATTTTTTATATTTTATCATATTTTAAAGAGATTGACTGTCACCTTGAACAGTTTCCAACCTTTCCTATTTCTGATAAGATTTTCATGATCAGACTCACCTCTTCCACTCACTCTGGTGAGTGATTTCATTGATTGCCAACTTCCTGAAGTCAAAAGTGACTACTCCCTCCTCTGCAAAGCTTTGAAGGAGGAATTCTCAGGAAGAGCAGTCACAGCAAGTTTAAGACTTGCCATGTCAGTTAAACATCTTGCATTTGAAGATCCAAATTTCTTCTACAGACGCCTTTTCCATGCTTTCTTTGGTTATCGAAAGATCCAGGTATGGAAGAAAATGGCAACTTTAAAGAACTTTTTCTTGAGAATCTAGATCTCTCCATTGGTGTGCAGATGAGCACAGTCGATGTGGGAAAAACAACCATGATACAACTCAGAAAAATGGCAGGTAATGTTTTCAGAAGGAATACTCAGGACACCACTGACCCTTTCGAGTCCTCTACAGGTCCGGCTTCCCATGCCGAGTCCTCTCTTTTGGTTCAAGGTGACCCATCTGAGACTGACCCCAGCTTTCCACCGGAGTTGTCAGCAGCACGTTACTGCAGCAGCACGTCTTGCTCGTGTAAACTGCTGCTTGGCCCTTCCCACGAGACGCGAAGCAGCAGGGGAGCAGCTGTCACCGACCGAGCACGAAGTCACACGAGTGACTTCGTCAGTAAACACAACAACAAGCAGGAGAAAATTACAACATCGCTCCAAAAGGTTTGTGTTTTACGTTCTGTCCGTTTTATAATCTCCAATACGGACCTGAAAAACAAAGGAGTCCGCTAGCTAGGTGATAACTTCTCACGGGGCCGCACAGTTAGTAACATTTTTTAAAAGTAAAGCAACCAGAAGGCAGTACGTTTCTTTATTCTGAAAATCTCGGGGGCTTCTCTCCATTTCCGCGTCCGATTTCCTGTCTTTCCTTCCCCAAAAATGTCGAACTTGACCCGTTTGAGAGGCGTCGCGCGTAGAAAATAGAACCGGCGCGTAAGGGCCGCGACATGCTGCTCCTGAGATGCGGCCGACTCACGCTGCTGACGGCTGCCGACGGCTCCAGTGGAAAAGGTTCTGTTGACCACAGCGGTTCCTATCAGCGGCTATGACGTGCTGCTGCAGTAACGTGCTGCTGACGGCTCCTGTGGAAAGCTGGGGTGAGGCTCAAAATGCTCTGTCACAAGCATCTCCAAAGTCACAGTCCATGAAGCATCATCTGGGATTGAAGTATCCAAAACCTTCTCGGTTCAAACACTCCCCCTCTGCTAAAGATTCAGTGAGTACTAAAAGGAGTCCATGTTCTGCACGTTGGTGCTCATGGATGGAGTCTCAAGAGGGGGGGTCGTCCCACTCAGGTGCCCGCTACCCTCGCTGCGACCATGCTGACCACAGCCCTGCTGCCCCAATGTCAAGAGCTGACTCCGGTAGCAGGCTTCCCGAGACCATCCGTGAAGTGTTAAGACATACCCTTCGTGTCTTGGATGAAGACCCATCAAAGACTAACAGAGTTCTACTCGTCGTGCACATCCTACTGCACCTGTTAAACCTGCACATGACTCAGTCGTACCTACCATACCATACCATACCATACCATACCATACCATACCATACCATACCATACCATACCATTCCATACCAAGTTTTTTTATGAAGCACATTTAAAAACAGCATGACAGCTGACCAACGTGCTGTACAGTAGTAATAAAAGGAAAACCCCAAGATAAAAACAAGATAAAGATCATAAAAGAGATAAAAGGGATAACCTAAAAATTTAAAGGAAACATACTAGAGTAAAAACAAAGTCACAATAAAACATAACGCTAAAAGGTTAGCACATTTCAACAGGGAAGATTCTAAAACAATAAAAGCTTGGTCATTGATCAAAAGCTAAATAATAGATGTAGGCCTTCAGTACAGACTTGAATCGACCCAGTTCTGGGGCCTGTCAAACACTAAGGGGGAGAGCATTCCAAAGTTTAGGAGCAGCGAACGCAAAGGCCCACTCCCCACGAGATTTGTACCTCATTTTTGGGATGCACAAAAGCAAGTGACCTGCTGATCCGACGAGTCCTCCAAAACTTGGACGTCGAAGAGTTTTATTTTTTATTTGTACCTCCTCCTTTAGGGGCACTTTGTTTTTATTTCTTGTACTTTATTGAACTTATTTGTGTTAAAAAAAATACTCAATCAACTAACTGCCTTCAGATGTACACACCTGTGCCCGTCTCCCAGGGATTCTATCTCTTTCCTCAAAGACTGTCTCTTACGACCCTGTATGACTTATCTCTGCCGTCACTTTCTGACTGCATGGTTACTTCTAAGCAACAATCCGGACCACTGACATCAGTAAATGTATTTGTTCATTCTGGGTAAAAAACAGACAATTATTTTGTTTTGCTTAAAAGTCATCCACCTGTTCTGTCTGCCGCTCTGAGCTCCTCCTTCTCTCCACCTGTCGGATTCTGTCCTCCACGGCGTGCTGCCTTGTCCTCTGTGATCAGCTTGGTCCAACGTTCTAAACTAATTAGAAGAAATCTGTCAGCTTTGAGTTTTGGAGTTGTGTGCTGGTTGCCTGCTCAGCAGCAGCAGCAGAATCCTCCTGGAGCTGCACCAGAATTACGCGGCGTAAAACAAACACTGGGTTCTCGCGGCTCTGCGACCTACTCGGAGCCCGGCTTCACCCTTTTTTCCAGGACCGGGTCCTGAACCGCACATGGTGCAGTTCTGTTCAGGAGGAGGAGGCGTGCCGGGCACTGTAGCACCCTGTGACCTCTGCTTTACATAAACACTCACTGGCTACTTTATTAGGTACACCCTGCTAGTACCGGGTTGAACCTTTGCCTCCAGAACTGCCTTAAACCTGCCCACGTAAAACGCATTACACTACAATATATCACACATCGTATTAACACAGCTGAAACAGGTTAGCAAACAGCAGCTACAGCATTAAGCACCGGCGTTACTGCCCCGTAGGTAAATGATCCCAGCAAACATTCAGACGTTTGATGACCATTGAAACTACGTCAGTCTGAGACGTCCCGTTATGGTTGAAAAACAGTTCCAAAATGGAAGTTGAACAGACGTTTTTCTGGCTGTGATTTCCACGTTTTACAGCACATCTTTTTCTAACGTTAATTAAAATGTGAGCATCTTATGTGAGTGTGTTAATGTGAAAAAATCAAAACTTAGACAACTGAGCCAAAATGTCACATGTTCCAACCTGGATTTGAACTCACATCCTCTGCCTCTGAGTCAGGTGTCTTACTACTTGAGCTATCCATTTGGTATTTAAATGTTGATAATACTCCTCAGGACCTGAGGGAGCAGAGCGGAGTGGCATTTGTGCTCCTCCCAGTGGGTTTGTGACGTCACAAACCCAGTCAGTTTTATCACAAACCCAGTCTGCTGCCGATTCACAGTGGTTTGAATGCAGAAATACTCGGAAATACAAATTTGAGTTTAAATTTCTTTAGATGTGTCCTGTAGCATAAGACAATGCCTCAAGAATATGTCAAAAAAAGAAAATACATGATTTTCATTGGAGCGGGTCTTTAATGTCATTGCTGGTAGACGCGCAGGACCCTAGCAGGCGTTGCCCCTCAGCTTGTTCCCATGTGCCATTGGATATTCCTGCCTTGCTCACCATAGTGAAGTTTACTCGTGGGGGTGATGCCTGCCCCACCCATTTAGTTCCTACAAGCACAGGCAAAGCAGACAGTTAGCCGTGTGAATGTTGTCTCACCAGTTAAACTAGCACAACTGATTCACCTTCCACCTGTCCGATCTGAAAAATCTGCTCTCTATTTTTGCTGCCTTTAGGTTCGTCTGCGTTTTAAGGAGATCCAAAGCTGTAAGGAGAAGCTCACCTCACACGTAACACGTGAAGAGTTTCAAGAGGCCTTCTGCGAGCTTTGCACCCGGCCCGATGTCTACTTCTTGCTGGTGCAACTGTCCCAGGACCGTGAGTGTCTGGATCCCCAGGACCTCCGCCTCTTTTTGGAGACAGAGCAAGGTTTGTCTCTGGCTACAACTGAAGGCTGCTGGGAACTCCTGAAGCGCTACGAGCCATCAGCTCAGGGCAGGGAGAGAGGACTGATGGGTCTGGATGGATTTGCACGCTATCTTCAATCCTCTGAGTGCCAGCTGCTTGACCCGGAGCACCTGGGAGTTTGCCAGGACATGAACCTGCCTTTGTCCCATTATTATATCAGGTTTGTTTTGCATGCCAGCACAACCACTGATTTATTGTGTTTATTTCTGCTGACACCTTCGATCACAAAAATCTAAAAGGAAACAAACAAAAGAAACAGAACACAACAAATGTGTCCTAAGAGCACACTGACAGCAACTTCTGGTGTAAATGAGATAAAAATGCTGTTTGGTTTACATTTTATACTTGTCGACACACTAAACCTAAGGATGTACTCTATAAAAATTGTTATTTTTCAACCAGAGTCATAAAGTGATCAGTCTCTGGGCACTCATCCGTCCATCCATCCATTCATCCACCCATTTTCAGACTTCCCAGTTCTCCCTGTAGGAGAGCAGATAAACACAGGTAGTTTTCCCATTACAGCAGAGAATCTACTCAAGTGGCTGGGAATGTCATAGTGAAATGACAACCCGACACAAAAGTATCTGGAGGTTATCTGTACCCAACATATAATAGTGCACGGTGATGCAGGGCTGACAACCTTTAACTTTTCCACATGTGAGAGTGCAGGGGTCGGGGTGGTGGTGGGCTGTGCACACACTGTTTCACTTCCTTATGCTGTCTGTGAGAGGGGGTGAGGTTGCAGACTGTTTCTCCCCGTCCGTTGTCCAGTCGAGGGTGGGGCAATTCTTCAGCATGATGAATTGAAGGTTTAAAGTGAGTGTGTGAAGAATACCAGATGCATGTGTCTCACGCTCAGTGCGTGGGAGTTGGTAAGCTGGTGATCCATGTGTGACCTAAAAACTCAACACAACACAATGATGGCAGACATGGAAGCAATCTTGAATATTCTGTTTAGTCAGTGGCTTTTTGTGAGACTCTGAAGAGAAAAGACCCATAAAACTCTGGATCAACCAGTCATTCCAGCTCTTCGCCAGTTAGCCTCTAGGGTTTTGGCTCAATTCAATACACTTTTGCAACCTTAGACTAATGGAAATGGCTTAAAACCAGTAGGTTCTAATAGAAAGGACGCTATCTTCCTCTAGTTCAGGGGTAGGAAACTCCAGTCCTAGAGATCCGCCATGCAGCACGTTTTAGAAGATTCCATGCTTCAACACACCAGATTTTATTCAGTAAGAGATGAAGAGGCCTGATGACCTGCTGAACAGGTGATTCAACTTTGTTCGGGCAGGGAAAAACAAACATGCTAGATAGCAGCTTTCTAGGACCAGGAATCCCTACCCCTGCTGTAGTTACATCTGGTAGAACATGCTTGGAAAACCTCGCCTGCACATACAGAGTCTTGCAAAAGTATTCATACCCCTTGAACCTTTAAACATTTTCACACCTTACAATTCCAAACTTAAACATATTTCTAGAGTTTTGCTGTAATGCTATGAAAGTAGAACGAAACACAACCCTGAAAACACCATCCCCACTGTGAAACATGGCAGTGGCAGCATCATGTTTTGGGGATGCTTTTCTGCAGTAGGGACAGGGAAGCTGGTCAGAGTTGATGGGAAGATGGATGGAACCAAATACTGAATTAATCTGGAGTAAAACCTGACTGTAAAGGACTTGAGACTGGGAAGGAGATTCCCGATCCAGTGAGACAATGACCCTAAAAACACGTAAGAGCTACAATGGTTTAGATCAAAGATTGTCCATGTGTTAGAATGGCCAAGTCAAAGTTCAGAACAAAATCCCATCCCAGCATTTTTGGTAAGACATGAAAATTGTCATCCATAGATTCTTTCCATCTAATCTGGGTGAGCATGATCTATTTTGCTAGGCTGGTTAGGATCAGTAGATTAGTAGATTAGTACTCAGTGATCACCCCCTGAATCAGTCGTAGACAGAAACAATTTACTTAGGGTGACCCCGGCAGTGCACGGGCCGTCGCATGTCCGTTAGAAACTCCACTCCAGTGTTGGTTCATTAGAGAGAGAGAGAGAGAGAGAGAGAGAGAGAGAGAGAGAGAGAGAGAGAGAGAGAGAGAGAGAGAGAGAGAGAGAGAGAGAGAGAGAGAGAGAGAGAGAGAGAGAGAGAGAGAGAGAGAGAGAGAGAGAGAGAGAGAGAGAGAGAGAGAGAGAGAGAGAGAGAGAGAGAGAGAGAGAGAGAGAGAGAGTTAGGGTTAGAGACAGAAAAAGAGAGAGGGGGGGCGAGAGAGGGAGAGAGCGAGAAAGATAGAGACACAGAGAGAGAGAGAGACTGAGAAAAAGAGAGAGAGAGAGAGAGAGAGAGAGAGAGAGAGAGACAGAGAGAGAGAGAGAGAGAGGAGGCCAGGTGACATAACTAGAGACATGAATACGTCCTATCCACAACCGAGCCGGACTAGGCTTGCCTGGGTCCCCCAATCCCGCTCCTATAGCTGGGAGAGGGAAAGGGAGATGATAAGAAAAGGGCACCGGGGTCTAAGTTAGGTGGAGTAGATGGAGTAGATAAATCTCAGTGAGTTCCCCCTGAATCAGTAGCTTAACCGAAACAGTTGAATAGGGAGTCACTGGCAATGCACGGGCCGTCGCGTGTCACTCTAGAGCTCCCCTCCAGTTGTTGGTTCGTCTTAATGAACAGTAAAAGAGTAGAGTAGAAAAACATGAAAAAACAGAATCAAGAAGAAAGTGAGAAGAAGAACAGAATAGAGAACCAGAGAGGAGGTCAGGGTGAAGGTTAGGGTTGGGGTTGGGGTCAGGGGAAAGAGTAGAAGGAAGGATAGGGTCATAGACTAAGGACACAGATCATGGGTAAGGTCACAGCCATTTATAAAGGTCAAATATACAGGTCAGGACACAGACCACCATTCAGATTAGAGTCCAGAGCAAGCCAAAACTAAATAACAAAAAAAGTGTCAACCCACGATATAGCTAATTTAATATTAATTTAATATTAAACTAATATTAAACTGGAGGGGAATTTTGGACACATCGTCAGTAGTCGACCTCAGGATCACAGGATGTTTCGGCCATTATCACTAGACACCCTCACCCAAGGAAGGCCCAGCCAGGGTTGATCAAATCATGGTGTGTGTCATTTTACCAAATTAAATGTTAAAGTTAAGTATTAATGCGAATGAACGACTCAATTCAGTAATTGTAAGGCTCATCAGCAGTGAACATGCACTTTTAAAATCCTATTTTGGGTTTAAACAGTACATTATAAGTTTTTAGTCTGAAGTGAACTTACACTTAGGGTTAGGGTTAGGGTTGTGTGGTATGTGAATATATAGTCCAGCCATTACCCATGGACAGAGCTCAGTTGTGGGGCAGAATCTACGGTTGTCTTTGCCTGTCTTTATCTGCATGCTATTGGTCAACAAATGCTGCGAATGTAAAGGGGCAGCCCTTCATACACTGTCGAAGACACATCCTTTTTCTAAACAAAGAACTTAAGTACTTCTATCTGCTCTTGACTCAAAGAAAAGACCAAAGCTGATGCCAAAGCTGTTTCAAACGCCATCTTAGGTGTTTCACTCTGTTGCATTTTTCCGCCCAATGAAACAGTAGAGAGCTGTGATTGACCCACCAAACAAACTGTGATTAGCGAGACAAAAAATACTCAAGCCAATGCTAGACCTGCTGAGGCATGGCTAGACCAACCTGTATGGCAAGCCAAATGAGCATTTATTCTGATATCAGGATATCAGCCAGAATTGTCATGAACATGTAAGCCATTTCTGTCCACTAGTTAACTAGTTAGACATGTTTGTGTCAACTAGTTAAATATCGAGGGTGAAAATGTGCCCACTAGTTAACTAGTGACAGCAGAAATGCGCACTAGTTAACTAGTGAACACATTTAGGCTTCAGTAGTTAACTAGTTGACACAAAAACTGCTCACTAGTTAACTAGTAAAAGCAGAAATGCATAGCAGTCAGCTACTTGAAGGTATTTGTCTCACTAGTTAACTAGTGAGGGTCAAAATGTGCACACTAGTTAACTTGTGGTAGAGATAAATGCGCACTAGTTAACTAGTGAACATATTTTGGCTTCACTAGTTAACTAGTTGACACATAAATGGCTCACTAGTTAACTAGTAAAGACCAAAATGCATACCAGTCAGCTAGTTGAAGGTTTTTGTGTCTCACTAGTTAACTAGTGATGGCCAAAATGTGCACACTAGTTAACTTGTGGTAGACATAAATGTGCACTAGTTAACTAGTGAACACATTTTGGCTTCACTAGTTAACTAGTTGTCACATAAATGGCTCACTAGTTAACTAGTAAAGGCCAAAGTGCATACCAGTCAGCTAGTTGAAGGTTTTTTGTGTCTCACTAGTTAACTATTGATGGCCAAAATGTGCACACTAGTTAACTAGTGAAGGCTTAACTCCTAACTAGTTAACTAGTTGGAGTAGGTCAGTGCCACTAGTTAACTAGTGAACCATTAATGGCTCACTAGCTAGCTAGTTGATGGCAGCAGGCTCACTAGTTACCTAGTTGATGCATCCATTGTCCAAACTAGTTAACTAGTGAGGACATAAATGTATACTAGTAAACTAGTTCAAGTCTACATTCACACTAGCTAGCTAGTTGCGCAGAATTCTAATTAGGAGGCGGAGAATTTCTCAAATTAAGACTCTCTATTGGCTCCCTGTGTCAAAATAAAATATGACAACCAATCACAGTGCGGAATTTCGTAAAATCCCACCCCAAACATTTGCATGCGGCACACAAGTTAACATGCTGGCCAGAGGAACCTCAGCTAGTGAACTAGTAGTGGCTTCAGTGTGACACTTACATGTAAACTTGTGAAGGCAGAACTGCTCACTAGTTAACTAGAGAGGGTACAAATGTCCACTAGTTAACTAGTGAGGTGCAAAATAAGTGTCACTAGTTCACTAGTGGGCCCCAAATCGCCCACAAGTTAACTAGTAAGGTGCGGATATGCTCACTAGTTAACTAGTGAGGTGCAGATTTGCTCACTAGTTAACTAGTGCGCCCTAAAGCGCCCACTAGTTAACTAGTAAGGTGCAAAAAAGCATCACTAGTTAACTTGTAAAGTGCAGATATGCTCACTAGTTAACTAGTGGGCCCCAAAATGTCAACATGTTAACTAGTAG